ATAATGATTTGGTCCCTGGCAGCCTCTAAAGGTAACCAAAGAATTTATTGTTGTTGTTTTTTAAGCTAAGTTTTCAAATTCCACTCAGTTAACATACAGTATTATATTAGTTGCAGGTGTCTAGTTTAATTATTTATCACTTATATACATCACCGGTGCTTGTCACAAATGCACTTCTTTCTTTCTTTTTTTTTAAATGTTTATTTTTGAGAGAGAGTGTGTGTCAACGGGGATGGGGCAGACAGAGAGAGGGACAGAGGATCTGAAGCGGGCTCTCTGCTGTTAGCAGATGCAGGGCTCAAACTCACAAAACATGAGATCATGACCTGAGCTGAAGTCGGACGCTTAACCCACTGAGCCACCCAGACGCCCCACAGGTGCACTTCTTAATCCCCATCACCCATCCAACTCACCTCTCCTCTGGCAACCAGCAGTTTGTGCTCTATAATTAAGAGTCTGTTTCTCGGTTTGCCTCTCTCTTTTTTTCCCCCTATGATCATTTGTTTTGTTTCTTAAATTCTACATATGAATGAAATCAAATCATAGTTTTTTAGTCCCACTGTGAATGCCCAGCTCAAAAGTTACTTCTAGTTTTCTTACCCTGACTCAAAAGGAATTTCTCCCTTTTGCTGCATTTAAACACATCTTTTCTAGTGGTTTTCAGCACTTTCTAGCTGTGTACTGCCTTATCTTCAGCCGGATCATAAGCTCCTTGAAGACATTTCTACACAGCACTTAACATGATGCCTCAGGCAGTATTTCTCAGAATTTGCTGTGCACATGAACCATGTGGGGAGGGGGTGTCTGGTTAAAACGCACATTCTGGATCATCAGCTCTGAGGTGGGCTGAGATTCTGAATGTCTCACAAGCCAGGTGATGCAAATGCTGCTGGTCCAAGGACCACACTGCATAGCAAAGAGGTATGGGAAATGGATGGGAAATGGATTTCATTGATTCGGTAGGAAGTACACAGTCTGGGCTAGTTCAGGCATGGGCTGGGCCCTGTTACTTTAATACTATTTTTTAAATGTTTTTTAATGTTTATTTATTTTTGAGACAGAAAGAGAGCATGAGCAGGGGAGGGCAGAGAGAGAGGGAGACATAGAATTCGAAACTCAAGAAGTAACAGCAATCACCTAAGGAGATTGCTGTTACTTCTTGAGTTTTATCCGAGAGACATTTTATGCACGTTAGAACACGTATTTGTGCTGTCTTTTACTAACATACAATTCACAGTGCTCTGTTGCTTTCATTTTGCTATATCTTAGAAATTGTTCCATATCTCGACATATGTGTCTACATCCTGTTTAGAGGGTGGCATAGTATGCACCCAGGATGCTCTTGCCGTTTATATGAAGTATACAGTGAGGTACGACTACGTCCTGGCTTCTTCCTCATCCTACACATTCCACAGAATATAGGGGATCTTGTCTTCCATTGTTCGAATTCTCTGAATCACCTGGCCAGTGGTGGTATATTTTTGTCAGTTTTCTTTGCTCTAGAATACATCCATCACTCATTTACATAAACATGTATATACTTCCTTTTTTCCCTTAGGACTCCAGTCCTCTTAGAATTAAATTATTACTTTACTCTGTATTCCCTTAGCACTCACAAGTTACTCAAAGATAATCTCTTATTTCGGTAGCATCTCATTGTGAAATACTGCATACATAAGTGTGTATAAAATGTATACTGACAGAGTTCAGGACATGTTACCCCCAAATATGGTGCCTTGACACGTTGAAATGATTTGAGAACATCGATGCTTGAAGGACTCTCTGACCTTCCCCTGAAGCAGACCCTCATGTGACAGTTACCTTCCCTATACCCTGAAGAAAGGACTATCTTTAGCTCCAAGATGGAGACCCCTCACAAGAGGAATCTGGATGAACAAGCGTTGCTGTTTCCCCCACTTTACCACACTGACTTTATACCCCCCTTATCGGATCGCAGTTTTCCATGACTCCAGTCTTCATCAAACCCAGCAAAGAAACACAGAGCTTTAACTACTGCTTCGGGCCTTCATTTCCTTATGAGGGCTCCTGTGTCATGTAAAATTTATTTTCAATAAATGTGTATGCCTTTCTCTTGTTAATCTGTCTTTTGTTACATGGACCTAGCCCAGACCTAGAAGGGTAGAACGAAAAGATGTTTTTCCTCCACTATGATATATTTTAGGAGAAAATAAAAACACGATTAATGTCACCACCACCCTCCAGGTGCCTCTCGCCTACCACAGGATGGTGTCTCCCTCTAAGGAGATGATGCTGTGCTGATTTTTACATTAATCATTCCCTGGCTTTTCTCTTCTCAGTGGTTCTGAAGCTATAGTGGATCAGCATCACCTAGAGGTGGGGGCACCTGGGTGGCTCAGTCAGTTAAGCGTCCGACTTCAGCTCAGGTCATGATCTCACAGTTTGTGGGTTCGAGCCCCACATCAGGCTCTGTGCTGACAGCTCAGAGCCTGGAGGCTGCTTCACATTCTGTGTCTCCCTCTCTCTCTGCCCCTCCCCTACTTGTGCTCTGTCTCTCTCTCAGAAATAAACGAACATTTAGAAAAAAAAAAAAAAAGAATCACCTAGAGGGCTTGTTAAGACACAGATTGCTGGGGCACCTGGGTGGCTTAGTCGGTTAAGCGTCCGACTTTCGCTTAGGTCATGATCTCGCGATTCGTGGGTTCGAGCCCCGCGTCAGGCTCTGTGCTGACTGCCAGCTCAGAGCCTGGAGCCTGTTTCAGTCTGTGACTCCCTCTCTCTCTGACCCTCCCCTGCTCACGCTGTCTCTCTCTCTCTCTCCTAGAAATAAAAAATTTAAAAAAAAATTAAAAAAAAAAAGACACAGATTGCTGTGCCCTACTCCCAGTTTCTGATCTATTAGATTCGGAGTGGAGCCCAAGGTTTGCGCTTCTCGTTAGTTTCCAGGTAGTGCTAATGCTACCCATCCCAGCTCTACACTTTGAGAACCACTGCTTTATCTCAAAGATGCTCTTGACTTGTGTATGATGACTCTTGGCCTCCCCTAAAACCCAGCTACTCTCTTCCTATCACCCAAATTCCGAGCAATAATCTTTGCTAAATATTTTAATTGATTGTGGCATTTGAGCAGCCTCCATTTTTTTTCTTTTCTGCTGATGATCCCGTTTATAAGTTGCTTCTCACTGATGTGTGTGTGTCTATTATTGTCCATTAACCAGAAGGAAGGGTCGAAGCAACATTGACATGTCTTGTTTGTCTAGTCTGGAAGCTCTTTGTAAACAGGAACCCAGTGAAGCGGTTCGGAATGTGCCCACTCCCCCCACCCCCCCACCCCCAAGACACTGCTTTTTAAGCTGAAGGCAGTTGAGAGACAGCAGTGGCAGGGAGGCCTCTCTGGCCTTGCCCTTCCTACCTAAAAGCAGGTCATAAAATTTTCCTTGAGAAAGGAGCCCGACCTGTACCAGGAAAAGAATGTTCTTATCAGCAGACACCTGGAGTCAACTCTGGTCTGTGTAAACAAAGCTACCAAAATAACCTTTATTTTCCATTTATTTCCCCCATTTATGTCCCAGTCGCTATGCCACAAGCACAGTCGCCGTAGTCCAAGCCCCTTTAACTTGTCACGTCCCCATAGTCTGTCATTCTTCGTGTAAAAAGGTATATGAGCTTTTGGGCCTAATGGCTCCTTTGAGTCTTCATTTTCCTTCTCAAGCCTCCTGTATACGTGTAAACATATATTAAATAACTTTGTATGCGTTTCTCCTGTTAATCTGTCTCATGCTGGTTTATTTCTTAGGCCAGCCTGAGAATGGCAGAGAGAAGAAGGGGGTTTTAGCTTCCCTCCACATTTCATTTCCCTTTGTAGTCCACTTCCTCAAGTAGGCTACAGGCCACAGTTGGCGAACTCGGTAGCTCATACAGGCCCAAAAGTCCATGTAAGTAAGTGAAACTTGCAAAGTGGAATTTTACTGACCTGGAGACTATGTCCCATGAAGAGGGCAGCTGCTAACTTTGATTCAAGCCCCTCGCAAGTCCATTACTCTCGGATTTTCTCAGTTTTCAAGAGAAGCCAGAATTAATCCCAACTACTTCAACATTTTAAGAACACAGAGCGGACACAGAGATCCCATGCAGAATACGTGTGCAGAACTGAAATGGAATCCATTCTGTGTTTCAAGCCCCTTGCAGTCGGTGGTGGCATGGATGGACTGGTGACTGAGTAAATCATGATTCTGGGTCATCGCGGCAGCTCTCTGGGGGAACGGAGGAAACACGTCATTGCTGAATACCTACTGTATTCCCAGCCCCGTGCAAGGGGCTTTATCTCTTTTGACTTTCATAACAACGCCACAGGGTAGTTATTATCATTCTTGTTTATGTCCACACTCGTTCCACAGATAAAGAAGTGGAGATTTAGAAAGAAATAGGGTCACATCACTAGTTTTCTTTATTTATAGGTTATAGCCTACTTAATTCTTTTTAAAAAATGGATTTTAGATGAGCTCATATGATTTCCGCTGTGTCCTGAGCCTTGGCTTCCTGGCTCTGTTATACCAATGCCACCACCAAAGGAATCAGGTTCTCAGAAGGCGGGGGGGGGAGGGCACTGGTGGTTCAGGGAGCACGTGTGATTCCTTGCTAAGGAATAAGACCCCCTTGCTAAGATTATGGGGATCTTAGCAAGCAACTGGGCGCCTCATGCTCCTCAAGTATGTCAGCCAGTCCTGAGGGACTAGGACACGCAGAGTCTCTTGCCATCTTGATAAGCCCTTCTCACTTCCTCCTTCATCACCTCTCAAAATTCAAGATTTCTGGCTCCCAACATGGGAGCCTACTTCATCCTGATTCCCTCCTAGAGCCCAGTGGGATAAGGACAGACGCAGATACAGGAGCTGTTAGGTTGGAAAACATTTTATTGGCGTCACTGAGCCCGGAGAGAGTGATGACAAGATGGTGATCAGATCCCACACTTAGCCCCTCTTCCAGCGGGTGTCAGCAGTGCAGGGTCTTGAAGAGAACAGTCACTGGGCGTCAGGAGTTGCACTCCTCAAACCCTTCAGCTGGAAGGAGAGAGGGTTTGGTCGGATTGGGGACCCTCGGGTATGGGGAGCTAAAGTCCCCCATGAAGCCCGGGGCAGTGACGGAAAGGAATTTTCGCGCTGATCTAAGGTCTCATTCTCTAAAGATAGTAGCTGAGATTTCCCTCAACTTTAGTGATAGGAAGGTTTATCTTGTTACCTGTCCTCGCCCTTCCTCCCAGATCATCTGCTTCTTCCCTCACCACCAACTTCTATCCTCCTACTTCCCACCACCTCTTACCTTTGGAAAGGCATCCCAGTTGAGGAACGGAAGTTTCCTTTTGATAGACTAAAAGAGAAAAGAAAGAGCGAGAGTGATGTGTTACAGGTCAGGTGAACATGGATCAGTAAACATCCAGTGAATGAGCTGTTGGTAGTTGACGATGGTGTTATCATTCTATGATTACAGGAAGAACTGATATTCCCTGAGCTGATATTCTGTGTCTGCCTCATGCTGACTGCCCTATAAGCATGCGTTCATTTGGTCTGCACAGCTACCTTTGAGGGAGACACTATCATGCCCACATCACAGGTGAGGAAGCTGAGGTCCAGAGACTAAAGATATTTGTGTGTGGGCACGTAGCAAATACATGCAGAGTCTCATGACACAGCCTCTAAAGCCCACGCTGTCACCAACTTCACCTTCGAAGTGTGGACCAGCCTCCCAACTTAGGACCTCAGTTTCTTCATAGACGATACAGGGGTTCAAATAAACTCTTGATAGGTTAAGTTCTGGCTTCTCTGAACTGTCTTTATGGCCCAGCTCCCCCACCGCCTCGTTAGGAAAAAAAAGTGTGGCCATGTCAGCCTCCTGAAGAAACTTTCTCTGCATGGGCAACATTCAAGCAGAACAATTACTCCCTTCTAGAACTCAGGAAAGAACCAAAAGGCCTAGAACTAGAACATGTCGACCCTACCCTGGAAAGAAAGACTGCAAACGGTCAGGGAAAGGAAGGGGTGCCCTCGCACTTACCTCAAAGAGGGCGTGCCAGTTCAGGAACTCATCGGGCTTAAAAGCCTGTGGAGACAGAGAGACCAGAAGAGGGTCAGTTCCAGGGGAGGACAGAGCTGGGCCCCTGGCCCCCTAAAAAAGGGGAGGTGTTCACAGTGTCTTTACGAGCTCTCTACCAAGTCACCGATCTCTTTTATGATGTGGATATTGGGGGCAGCATTAGAGAATGGTACTTACGGCGCGCAACTTGTCGATGTTCAAGAACTGAGCGTTAAAGTTCTAGGTAGAGAGACGGGGCATTGTAAGAGTGGCTAAGGAGTGTGAGGAGGAGGGCACAGACTCACACCGGAGAGGGAGTGGGGGGGAAGCAGGTTGTTTACCTCAGGGCCTGCCGCATAGTTACCAATGGTGGTTTCTTCCTGGAAAGCAAAGGGGAGAAAGTCAAATGATCACATAATGGCAAGTCTTCGTCCCCAAGCCCTCTCTGCCAGCCCGGCCTTCCTCCACAGGCCAGCCCCCGAGGAGATAGCCCGTTCTCCTCCGTGGGGCCTCAGATAACCTGCTCTGTTCCAGTCAGACAGATGGCGGACAGATGTGCAAGGCAGCAAGAAGGGATTGGAGAGTGGCATGTGTGAGAAGCTAAAACCCAGGCAGCAGGTGCACAAAAGGCAGAGAAGAGATGAGTCCTCCAAAGAAGACCAAGCTAGTGTTGCTGTGCATTTGACTTGGAGTGTTCTGGAGACACCTCTGCTCGGCCCATAGAGCTGGGTGGGGGAGGTTAGCACACAGGTAGGAGCTGGGCTGCCGAGGTGCCCTGCCTGCCTTTAACTGATTGACAGGGGTTTGCTTTGTGACTTTATTGCCACCAAAGTCAGAGTCACCATTTCCCTCCCCGACACAGACACTCCCCCAGACCTCAGTGCATCCCATCTTGTCGCTTGCCATGCTTTAGTTGCCCTGCCTCATTGTCCCTTATTTCTTCCATCCTACGACAGAGACCACAAACAGGTACCCTACAGGCTAGACCCAAATGTTTAGCTCTTATAGTAGTTTGGCTTGTTTGCTCTTTTAATTTGAATAACACATTTTTAATTAGTAAGAATACACAAATCAAATTCCTGGTTTCCCCTAAAAAATTTAAAACTCTGGCCACACGAGGTACATTTTCCTGCTTAGCCACAGTTGGATGGACTGTCCCTTTTTCCACTGGGTGGGTTCCCTCCACCTCCCCTGGGAGTCCACCAGCCTGTCTGCTCACTGACCTCACTTGCTTGGATCCCAAGCAATTGTGCCCATGACCCCATCTTAGACTTTTAAATTCAGCACCGGCACTCTCCCCCAGCCTTGGGAGAAGATGGGGAGAGAGGGGTCTCCAGCTTCCTCCTGGCTGGAGACTGCTGCCTAGGGATCCTTGCTATGGCTTGGGCTCCAGAGACAGGAGGAAGCTTCCAGTCGCCTGGAAGACATTCCCTGGGAGACAAACGAAACACAGGTGAGGCTGAGCCCAGACAACCAACGTCAGCCCCTGTCTCCTCCCAGGATTCAGTTGTCCAGCCTCTGCCCATACTCTCAACATTCCTTCCAGAAATAAAGCACATCCATCTACATGTCTTCCTGGGAATACTTAGCTTTCCTTCCTCCTTTCTTCCCTTCCTCAGAGCCCCTGCTTTTCGTTTAGCCTCTGATCGTGTCCAAAAATAGGGGCCATGCATCCAGTAGAGCATACAGATAAAGAAATGGAGGACTTAAGGGAGGCAATAGGTAAGAACAAGAGAATCCAGGTGCCGTTGCTCACCTCGGAAGTACCCAGGGAGGCACCCTGAGCAGAGTGGAGCGCCAGAAGGGAGAGAAGAACCACAGCAGGAAGAACTGGGACCTTCATGGTGTCAGGTTTGGGGTGCTCTGAGGCGGGGCCTCCCCGCTTACCCTTTATATTCCTGGGGTGGTGGATGTGAACAGAAATAGGGTCCCCACCCCACTGACTCACCCCCAGATCCCATTGCCCCATCGCTCCCATCCCCGGGGCCCTGGGAGCGGGAGGTGTAGACTCTTCCCCACTTCTCTTGGATTTCCCAATTCACATTCTGCCCCAGGTGCTAGGAAGGTGAGATGGCAATGGGGTGCTTCATGCAAATGGAGCTGGGATGCAGACAGGTTGAACCTGTCCCTCCAAGGGATTGGCAGTGTCACCCAAACAACCTCTCCTTTTGCCTTTCTATCCTTCATTCTGCTCTTATAATTCAGGCTTTTTCCCACCCTACCCAATTCTGTATAAACTCCACAGCCTAGCACTGAAAGCCTTTCACGCTCTGGCCTCAACCTGCCTTCCCAACTTTGCACGTGTCCCCACATTCTGGCCAAACTGGACTCCCTACCAAATCTACCCTTCTTTGTCCTCCAACCACCTTCCCATGCTATCATCTATCGTCTCCAGTTCTCAGAACCCGACAGGCTTCCCTGATTTTTCCCATCACCCCTCACCACCCTCCCTGACCCTCCCGATACCCTTCCCTTCTTGGGATTGCCATAGCAATTCATTTGTTTCTCTCTGCCATTGAACCTAGGGTAACTCATGCTCTTCTCTTATCTCTCTCTCAGGCCATAAGCTCCTTGTGGCCAAAAACTCTATCTTGATCACCTTTATACACCCCTATGCCATGCCTTCCACAGAGTACAGGTGGAGCAAGCATTTGTTAGATTGGATATGTTAGAGATCAGGCATCCTTCCACCAAGGTGTACGCTTTCCTCCTTTATCCATTATCCAGCTGCCCATCTTTTCTTTTTTAAACATTCACATGCTTTAGTAAAATAAGAAGTGTGTGGATGGTGTTAAAATCAATACGATGGCAATATCCAGAAAAATATGGTTTACTTAATAATGAGGCATCAAGGGGCGCCTGGGTGGCTCAGTCGGTTAAGCGTCCGACTTCAGCTCAGGTCATGGTCTCACTGTTCGTGGGTTCGAGCTCCACATTAGGTTCTGTGCTGACAGCTCAGAGCCTGGAGCCTGTTTCAGATTCTGTGTCTCCCTCTCTCGCTGCCCTTCCCCCACTCATGCTCTGTCTCTCTCTCTCCCAAAAATATATAAACTACAAAAAAAATTTTTTTTAATAAAAAATAAAAAAATTAAAAAATAATGAGGCATCAAAAAAGATGTCTCCTGGCGCGCCTGGGTGGCTTAGTCGGTTAAGCGTCCGACTTTCGCTTGGGTCATGATCTCGCGGTTCGTGGGTTCGAGCCCCGCGTCGGGCTCTGTGCTGACTGCCAGCTCAGAGCCTGGAGCCTGTTTCAGCCTGTGACTCCCTCTCTCTCTAAACCTCCCCTGCTCACGCTGTCTCTCTCTCTCTTCTAGAAATAAATAAAAATATTAAAAAAAAAAAAGATGTCTCCTTTCATTTTTCTGACTACTTCCTTCTTTTTTTTTAACTTTTGTTAAATTTATTTCTTTTTTTCCTAAATAGTTTATTGTCAAGTTGGTTTCCATATAACACCCAGTGCTCATCCCAACAAGTGCCCTCTTCCATGCCCATCACCCCCCTTCCCCTCTCCCCCACCCCTATCTGCCCTCAGTTTGTTCTCAGCATTCAAGAGTCTCTCATGGTTTGCCCCCCTCCCTCTCTCTAACTACTTTTCCCCTTCTTCTCCCCCATGGTCCTCCATTAAGTTCCTTCTAATCCTCCTATACGTGCAAACATATGGTATCTGTCCTTCTCTGCCTGACTTATTTTGCTCAGCATAACACCCTCAAGGTCCATCCATGTTGCTACACGTGGCCAGATTTCATTCTTTCTCATTGCCATGTAGTATTCCATTGTATAAATAAACCACATCTTCTTGATCCATTTGTCCGTGGATGGACACGTAGGCTCTTCCCATGTTTTGGCTATTGGTGAGAGTGCTGCTGTGAACATCGGGGTACATGTGCCCCTATGCATCAGCACTCCTGTATCCCTTGGGTAAATTCCTAACAGTGCTATTGCTGGGTCATAGGGGAGTTCTATTGTTAATTTTTTGAGGAACCTCCATACTGTTTTCCAGAGGACCTGCACCAGTTCACATTCCCACCAACAGTGTAGGAGGGTGCCCGTTTCTCCACATCCTCGCCAGCATCTAGAGTCTCCTGATATGTTCATTTTAGCCACTCTGACCGGCGTGAGGTGGTATCTCAGTGTAGTTTTGATTTGCATTTCCCTGATAATGAGGGACGCTGAGCATCGTTTCATGTGTCTGTTGGTCATCTGGATGTCCTCTTTGGAGAAGTGTCTGTTCAGGTCTTCTGCTCGTTTCTTCACTGGGTTGTTTGTTTTTCAGGTGTGGAGTTTGGTGAGTTCCTTATAGATTTTCGATACTAGCCCTTCATCTAATATGTCATTTGCAACTATCTTTTCCCAGTCTGTCAGTTGCCTATTAGTTTTATTGTTTCCTTTGCCGTGCAGAAGCTTTTAATCTTGATGAGGTCCCAATAGTTCACTTTTGCTCTTGATTCCCTTGCCTTTGGGGATGTGTCAAGTAAGAAATTGCTGCAGTTGAGGTCAAGGAGGTTGTTTCCTGCTTTCTCCTCTAGGGTTTTGATGGTTTCCTGTCTCACATTCAGGTCCTTTATCCATTTTGAGTTTATTTTTGTGTGTGGTGTGAGAAAATGATGTGGTTTCATTCTTCTGCATGTTGCTGTCCAGTTCTCCCAGCACCATCTGTTAAAGAGGCTGTCTTTTTTCTATTGGATACTCTTTCCCGCTTTGTCAAAGATTAGTTGGCCATACATTTGTGGGTCCAATTCTGAGTTCTCTATTCTGTTCCATTGGTCTATGTGTCTGTTTTTGTGCCAATACCATACTGTCTTGATGATGGCAGCTTTGTAGTAGAGGCTAAAGTCTGGGATTGTGATCCAGCTGCCCATCTTTAACTCTTGGGTCTTCAAAGACACGACTATACTGAGCTAAGAAAACAAGGAATAGAGAACACAGGGGGAAAGGAAAACAACACAAAAACACAAAGTAGGTCTTAAAGACACCCAGTTGGAGATAGGAGCTAGATCCTGAACTTTGAGTGCCTTCTCCATAACACTGAGCTTATCCCACCCCCCTGCCCCACTCCCCGGCTTGGGAGTCGTATCACCTCTTAGTGACAAAATATCCTAATCAAGCCACCTTCTCTACTATGAGGTCCAGGTGGCCCAGCCAGTTCCTGGTGTAATAGGGAGGTGTCGGAACACTGCCTGGCGCTGCCAGAACAAAACAAGACCTTATTTAAGAGCAAGCCTCTTCACTCCGACCTGGTGCAGTGCGCGTGGATGGCAGGCTTAGGGTGGAGGAACTACATGGCACTCACAAGTGGTCCATAGGAACCCCAGAAGCTGGCGCTTTGGTTCAGTTCCCATGTTGCCCCCGCACCCCAATCTTGGCCCCTCTGTAGCTTCGGGAAGCCTCCTCTATTTTTATAATAGTGCATCGCCCTTTGCAGAGCCACCTGAAGAGACAGTGTTCAAGGAACATTGAGCACAGGTGACCAGGTGACGTGGGCATCATATACAGTTGGAGCTACTGGAGGGGATGAGTGAGAAAGTGACTGGGGTGGGTGGAGCACCTCCCAAAAGGTTTTCTGGAGGACACGGGTTTTTATGTGTGATGAATTCCTACTAATTAATTAACAGTGACTGAAGGAGCTCATTAGCCACCATTATGTCAGCATAGGGTCAGCTCCAGGAGCAGAAGGAACGAAGGATGCACAAAGGGGAACCGATATTGTATAATCCACTCCCAGTTAGGCACTCTAACGGAGGAACACTTTGCCCTGGGTGATCCAAAGCAACAGACAAGCCAAACACATTATCTGTTTGACTCTAGACTTCTTTTGTAATAAATCGGCCTGCCGATGTTTTCCTCTCCCCCTCATGCTAATGCTGCTAAGGTTGTTAGCTAATTTATTGATGTCTCGTTATGTGGCAGGCCCTGTGCTAAGTGTTCTAAATGAATGTGCTCGTTGAAATAGCACAGTGATTCTGGGAGGCAGGTACTATAATTATCCACATTCTACAGGCAGGGGCGCCACAGCATGTAGAGGCTAAGTAACTTACCCATGGTCACACAGCCAGTGCGTGGCAAGGCCGGCATGAGAACCCCAAGATTCCAGGGCCTGCCCTGTGGTGCTCCTTTGGTGGACTGTGGAATAGTGTCCTACAAAGGGCCTCAGCCAGCCCACATGGCACCTGGCATGAATTAGAGGTGTTTAGAGAGTTGGGGGCAGGCAGGCCACATGTAACCCCCATTCGCTCCCCAGGTGTCCTCCTGTGGCATGTGGCTTGCACAGCCAGAGAGAGCAACTCCAAGCATACGGGCGTTGATTGCAAGGAGTTAACTCATCAACACTCTTGGCAAAATGGAGACAGAGAATTAAGAGATTAATGGCCCTCGGGGTGCCTGGGTGGCTCAGTCGGCTGAGGTCTCAGGTCACGATCTTGTGGTCTGTGAGTTCGGGCTCTATGAGGACAGCTCAGAGTCTGGAGCCTGCTTCAGATTCTGGGTCTCCCTCTCTCTCTGCCCCTCCCCCACTCACACTCTGGCTCTGGCTCTGGCTCTCTCTCTCAGAAATAAACATTAAAAAATATATAAAAATGTTTAAAAAGAGATTAATGACCCTCAACAAGCATATGCCCCAGAATGAACTTGCGGCTGCCTCCGACTGCAGGTGCCTTTTGTAATAGGAACATCTCGCCTCACCAAGTGTGTATTATTTTTCTAATATTTATTTATATTGGGGAGAGCGCAAGCGGGGAGAGGGACAGAGAGAGGGCGACAGAGCAGAGCCTGAGTCGGGGCTCGAACTCACAAACCACGAGATCATGACCTGAGCCAAAGTCAGATGCTCAACCGACTGAGCCACCC